CGTAGTCAAAAAGCAAAAACAAGGAAAAAAAAAACAACAAACGCATAACATAAAAGAACATGCATAGCGCCATCAATAAACGACGGGGTATTAAAAAATGAAGAGCATGAAATGAAAGTGCTCTGATTTCATATCGCCGTCAGAGATCATTTCATAAGCGTCGTTGTGACGCGTGTGCGGAAATCACGCGATAATTCCTAAATTTGAAATTGAGAGGCGACACAACGATTTGATATAAAGTGAGCATACAATGCATATTTTTACTCATTTTTTTAAAGTTTAAGGGGGCAATACTTCCGATTCGGAGTTCGTATGTTCTAGCAGGATGCTCTTTTGTGCATCGATTTGAATGTTTCCAATAGTAAATCTGGAAAATTAAAGTATTAATATCATATAATATAAAATGGTCATAACAATAAACACGCACCTCGTGTCACATATACGCTCACTCTCATGAACACACACACAGAGAGACAGAAATACTCACTCACTCGGTGTTAGCAAATATATTTTTTATGTAAATTGAAATGGAACGGCTCTTCGCATTCTCGTCAAGTGGAACACATGCACCGTAATTGTAGTCGGGCATTTTCTTGACACTGATCGCTTTATCAGCAATCAGTAATTTTCTCAGTTGTTGAAAGGACGTACGTTATGTAAACGTTTTTCGACTTGAAACGGGGTGGATCGGTGGAATAATATTCAAAAATCGGCTCGTTTGTATTACTCACTGAAAATTTGTTAAATTACATAATAACGTAATTTGCTTGCACTCTCATTGTGCCATCACTTCATTTGGATGCAATAAATTTATTTAGCCCATTTCATTTGATTTGATGTGATATCATAATGTTCATTGCCCGGAACAATGGTTAAAAACTACAGTCATTCCAAGCGGAGAGATGTCTGTTAACTGAAACATGTATCGATTTTTTTCTTCTTCTGATGTTCACAACAGTAATGAATTAAAATTGCACAGAATTCAGCTAGCAGACATTAAAAATCAACTGACTTGGGTAAAACAGCCGTCTTTTTTGTTGCTATTATTCGATTGTGGCAGACAGAATCAGTTGAGCAGTAAAATTCGGTGTGTCATTTACTGCGCGAACGTCGAATAGCTACAACTTTTGATATAGGCTAAAGATTCGTTGAAATGAATTGCGATATCACAAAATGATAAAAGTAGAAATGGCATCGGGGATGAAAACAGGAGGAAAGAAACAGAAGTACATGATAAGAATGACGCTGTCTAAAAATAACAAATTTCCAAATTTCCTCAACATCTTTATTCCAGTTTGAAAAGTTTTCATGCGTTGCATTGAAACGCCTCCCTATTTTTGAAGCATTGTGCACAACTTTACACAAAATATTGGGCAGAAAATCGATGGTAATCACACTGGGAATGGTGCACATTCAGTTCAAAACATTATTGTATAGTCATACATGGCTGTGATGCTGCAAAAGGAAAACAAATACACATGAAAGCGTTTGCGCAGTTGCAGGCACTACTACTGTAGGGAGAGAGAGAGGGAGAGAGAGAGTATCGTTAAACCAGTGACTCTAATGAGGGGTGATGCTAATTATAATTTGCAAATATTAATTATTTCGATAAAAATCTACAGCTGTCCTTTTTATTTTGTGTATTGCCGTTCACTCTGTTTTGTGTGTTTTATTTGTGTGCTGTTGATGCTTCTGTAACCACTACATCATTTCCCATTGTCACTTTGCTATTGATACTGAAACATTCTCTTCTGGCGTTTTGACCTTTTTTCCTCTCTCTGTCTATCGTAACATTGAACAACAAAACAGCTCTCATATTACGCACGATGAATGTGCACATGTATAACAAAGTTCGATGTTTTTCTGTGATGTTGTCATTTCAAGTGTTGTTACGATTACGATCGTTCTTCAGTATCGTAGCCCATACGTATCATTTGGTAATTTATTACATTATATGGCTGCTTTCATATATTGACCTTTTTTCTTTTGTTGTTGTCGCTATTACGTTCAATGAGAAATTAATCTTTAAACTAATTGAATTGACTGATTAGATTCGCCAATTTCGTTTCTTTTTTTCCTATTCGGTTTCTGAATGGCCAAATTGCATTGGTTGCGAATGAAACATGCGGAATTTCATTTAGAACGAAATTGAGGGCCAATGCAACGAAATACTTCAACTCCATACTCAACCACCCGTATTATGGTATTAGATAATGATTAATAGCGGTTTCAAAAGACTTCCAATAATCGCTGTGCCCAAGTGCATGTTCATCATATGCACTTAGTCTGACTTTGCTTTCCTTGTGCAACTTTACTGCCCGGTATAATTGCGAATGGTCAACGGAAAATAGGATGTATTGCCGAAATAAAAAGTACTTTATTTTCTAGTTGTTGATCGACACGGTGGAGAAAAAAACAGTTTTGTTCTTTGGGACACAGTCTATTGAAATCATTTTAACATTTACATTCGCCACGTTCTTGATTATCAAATGTTGAAATATGTTTGGATTTTCTCGCGCATGAAATCTAAATAATAATTTGCATTTGAATTTTATGCGAATTTTTACTAGTCTTATGCACTTTACCATACATCTGATAATAATGAAAGCAATCATGTGTCTGGTTCATGATTTCCCTTTGCAAAAAAAAAAAAATCAAGGAAAAAATGTTTTTAACTTTGAAATTGGAGGTTTGAGTACGAAAGCTGATTTTTTTTTCTTCAAATGTTCACAATGAAAAAACTTCCTTTGAACTTATTGACTTCAATATATTTGTTGACAAAAATCAACGTATGGTTTAGTATTCGAGTCGTTTATATTTTAAACTTTGCAAGAAGTACCATTGTATTGAGTTCTATATTGTCGGAAGTTCTTGACTCAATCAAATATTTTTTTTTCTGGATTTTTTCATTCATTACAAATGAATGGAAAAAAAGAGTTCGGACATACATCCGTCGTATCGTTGAGAAAATAAACTGAGAATATTCAAAGGGAGAAAAGTATCCATTTGAAAAAAAAAATATACAAAAAAGTGACGTTTTGTTGTTCAGATTCATTATTCATTAGCAAATCCCATTTGAATGTTTGATCGGTATATGCAGCAGCAACGTTGACGGCAGTCCGGAACTCAAACGTTACGAAACAGTTAGACACTTTGAATTTGTCAATGGGTGCATGAATGACATAAAAATGAATTGTTGTTATTATTGTGTAGCTCTGTTCAAGCCGAATTATTCAGCGATTCATTGATGTCGCAAGTGTAGTCACTTATTGTCGCTGATATTTATTTATTCTGTTATTGTGTGATGCAGTGGGTTGATTTTACACGGATCCATATCAAACAAATCATATTATACTATGGTTCGCTCCGCTCCGTACCGCATCCAAATATGCAATGTGAAAAGCGTTAATACTACGTCTTTTGTTTATCGGATTATACAAACGCTGCCATTCACTCTCAACTCTAACGTTTTTCCTCTCCTACATATCCCAGTTCAACAGTCCTCCTTCTTCTATTTCCTTAGCATGTTTCAGTTTCATGCAGTTATTGTAATAAAATTTCAATAACATTCATAAAATTGTATTATGTCGGCGGCAAAGTTTATGTTTTTGAGTGAGTGTTGAACGTTCAATCATTATCGCTCTCAAAAAATAAAATAAAATAAAGGGATATCACTTGTGCTCGGTGCAGCTTTCCCGCCTATTGCCACTCTTTATTTTTGGCTTTTGTGTAAATATTTTAAACAATGTAATATACAAACATTTATAACAATTGTTACAAATATCGGGGATCAGTATTATCGTTATGGTTTCTCACAATGAACAATGATTTGATGATGCGTATCAAAACAACAAAACAATTATCTGATTTACACATTCTCAATTGCGAAACTTGAAATTTTCGGCGCACTACGTTCTAAACAAATCATAATTCATTTTTGTATAGAAGAAAATGATTTCCCCGGAAGAGCGGCGACAAATTTAGCAAGCCTAGGAGATTGAATGCATTTTTCTAAGTGAATCATCGTCGCCATGCTTATAGCCATATAAATTTCAATTGGAACAACTCGAATACATCCTCTTGAGAGCACTTCAACGCATAATAGACATTCGGTTTTACATGCGTTTTCTTCTTTCTTTAAATTTCGGGTTGTGGTTTGAATATGTATGCAGCCCTTTGATGTTATGTATTTAATACACACTTAACGCGGATAAACATTATGAAAAATTATGGTTCATCATCGAATAAATTCGTTCGTCGTAGATACACGACTCGTTGTTTACCGAAGCGTGTGTGCGAAAAATGTTGTCAAAACCGGGTGAAAAACATACGACAAGACTGGATTAGAGGGAACACAGACAAATAGGGAGTGCACACAAATGAGAACAAGAAACAATCTAACGATCATCACTGGCATAGCGCGACCGTCAACTTTCGAACTATTCCTTCCTCTAGTTGCCGTTGAATCGTCCTTTATGCGTATGAATTGTAACGAATTAATTGGTTTCAGTGCCATGACTTTGGGTTAGAATAGATATATTATGCGCCAAAATCATTTAAACGCTGCACATTTACACAAAAATATAACTTATTTGATTAACTCTTTGTTCTAATGCAGTGTAGTCGATTCATAACAGCCAATCACTGATTATTTTGATTGAGTTACTGATGCGTGCGTATTTGAACACGATTCGATTCACTTTCGTTCGTTTTTGGGGAACGATTGTTCTATTTATATTCAATAATTCAACCAAATTTGATTTATTTTATAAAATACAAGTGTATTCACGGTCCAAATAGAAAACTTTGAAAAAAAAATTGGTCACTCTTGCTGGAAAGAATCATCTGGCGTTGAAAATGTTTGATTAAGATTTGGATTTAAAAAAAAACTGGAAAAATACTGATCGGACGGCCAAAAATACCTCTAATTTGATCCGAAAATAGAATAAAGAAATGCTAAAAAAATGATAATCGATTGTTTTTTCTTTTCTCTGTTCCAGATAGCAGTGTAGTGGATTGAGAAATATACGATAAGGTGTAGAAAATTGTACAGCTAAAAAACATACGAAAATATTCTGGACAATCATTTTGATTGATTCATCGGAGATTGGGCCCAAATCAATCATCTTCAGGCAACATTAGAAATTCAAACGTGCCGGAAGAAAAACAACGCACAGCAACTACACACACACACACACACACACACCTGATAGTTTTATCTAACAAAATAGTTGTTACAAGATATATTTTTCAAACTGATTGGAACCAGCTTGCAGCACCCGTTAATACGGGATGGTGCTGACACATTTTGGAAGATGCCACACGCAGGTAAGGATTCTTCTTTTTTCTTTTATTCGCAAAATAACCGTTGACATTAAATGACCAATGTGCAGCATCAAATATTCAAAATAGTTAGGATATAGCCCCACTAAGTATATGCCACAGAAAGGAAAATTTAGTTTCATATAAAATTGGAATATTATTGAATTTCGACAATCAAATTATTGGGACGTCAAATTCATTTTATTGAATGAAATAATATGCCGTTTGAATGTTTGCGGCCGAGTAAAATAGGGCGAGTGTAATTGATTTTGGTTTTTATTTCATGAGCAATGACGATTGGTAAACAAATTAAATTACTACGATTGAAGCAATCGACAAAACGAATGCCATCGAAATTACACAGGGGTAGCCCCTTGCTGGTGTTTGATGTTTCTTGTTGGTCGGTGTAAAGTGTGCGCACGTCATTGGTTCCAGTCGTATGATTCGTAGTTACAAAGATCGTACACATCTATGTAACATACATATATACATGATGATGATGTGCGGAGTGCATCGTCGCTCTATCACCACTAACTTTACTTTTCGGTCACACAAAATCATTTGCAACGATTAACTTTAATTTCACATTCGATGTGAGCCAGCTCAATATCGATGACGGGTCCGTTTTGCCAGCGTTCTGGCTTTGAATGATGGATTTGATCCAAACATGAACTTGATTTCTTGCATAAATTAATTTGTTTAGACTGGCGCAGCGTGAACGGAAAATTTCAGTTGCTAAAAGAAACACACTAACATTGCTGTGTAAGTTCATTTCGTTCTACTCAGGCATCAGTTTATTTACATGTGAACGCATTCACACGCTGCAAACGAAAATTAAAAGAAATAAAGAACATATATATATATGTATATATATATATATATATACGCAAGGCGTGCGGAGAAACAACTGGAAGATATGTATTATAACAGAGAATGAGATGAGAGAAAACCAATGGAAAGAAGCATCCAATAGCTCTGTGAATTGAAATCCACGCGAACAACTTTTACACACTACATTGCACAGAAATAACAGCTTTTTTAATTGAAATCATTGAACCGTGGCTAAATTTAAATCCCATTCAAACTGTCGACGCAACGCCTGCATTACGCAGAAATACCTCATACACACGGGCCTGTACGTTATTACAAGTATGCTTAGCATGTGTACACATGCTATTGTGCAGGGAGACTGACTGAAGAATAGCGCGATTGGAGTACGAAATTCGTGCCTTGTGCAATCGCAGGCCATTGTTTGCAATATCCTTCAGAAAAAAATTGTGGCCTTTTTGTCTTCACTATCTCTCTCTCTCTCTTTCTCTCTCTCTCTCTCTTCTCTTCACTCATTGCCGGTATCGATTTGTTTTGTAAATGAGCACTCGATTGGTGTTTGCATTGATGTAACTTGCTCACTCTCGAAGCACTGAAGAAACGAGATTCAAATGTGGAATTCCATATGTGTGTGAGTTGTTGTTGTTGTTTTTTTTGTCGAAATTTATCGATGTAAGATGCCAAGACTTGTTTCACCGCACAATCGATTGAAATCAATTAACCGAAAAAAAACCATTTCAACAAATTGTGTCGTGCCTTAAATGAATGCACATGTTCCTTTTTTTCGAATATACTTCCTGGCTAAAAAAAAAGAAAATAAGTGAATCTAGTTGAATCGATGTACCAATTTCAGCATCACGCATAATTTTCATTGATAATTAACTATCATTCAGTTGTTTGGCCTTTTCCGGCGGAAAAGTGGACCAAGCAAATTGGAAAATGATAGACATTACTTGGATGTGGTACAATACACATTGAGTGGAATTCGATTTCATTGGGCTTTGTATTGATTAGCGCTCTTTTCCGTTTCATTTTTTATGGTCAACTTCAGTCAGCAATCATTCCAATAATTTCCTATTCGAAACAATTTTTTCGGCTTTTTACACAATTACAAATGGCATTCAAGAAACAAGAACCGAAAGGAAAAGAAAAAAAAACAGTTGGGGACCATAACTAAACCCTATTGAAGAGTTGAACATAGAACTATTTTCACGTGACCTATTATGCGTAATAGATCGTCATTTATAGTGTATTATGCGATTTCCCAAAGCGTATGTAGGCATTTATTAGGGCCCATTGCCACAAAAACACAATGCGTTATGCGCGCACTCGATCAATCGCTCAGCATTCTGTAATTCAGCCTGGTTATCATTGAGGTTCCGGTTCGATTTCTGGTTTGAGTATTTCTGTTTTATTCATTTTTTTTGCTGTTGTTGTTCTGTTCTCCTCATTCTTCTGTGCTGATTTATTTGTCGGCTCTCTTGATGCGTTCATTGCAGTTTTTGACAAATCAATTTGTTGGTAGACAGTTTTATGTTTTATAAAACGTTCCTTTTTCTACACTGGTCACGTGCCTGACATATAGCCGATACAAATATATATATTTATTTTTTTCTCTCTTCTGGTTGCCGTTTGCTCGAAACCACGCGCACTATTCGATCCGAGAAATTTTGCGCTTAGAAGGAAAACACTTTCCCTTTTCATTCTTGCATCCTGCAAACCGTGTTGAAAATTAGATGAGAATCCTGCAAAGTCATTTGGCATCATATCACAAGCAGTTTAAATCCGAAACTAACAACAGCTAACGAAATTGCATTAAATGCTTGATGTCGGAATTACGCGTGCACGAGTGTCACTACCATGTATTTATTAATGCACAATTTCATCATTTCAAGCCGTTTCATTAAGCATATTTTAGAGAGGAGCCGATTTTCCGACAATGCGTCCTCGATTTGTTCGAATCAAATCACACTCAACGCGTATATGACAAATTAATCATTGCTTCAAAATTGGGTTGCATCATTTGTATTTTGCATTGGCCAACAATTCATATCGGCTTCAATAAATAACATGAAATAAAAGGAATTAGAAATGCAATAAATACGCCATGGAATTGAAAGAATTCCTGATTTTCAAGTGAAGAGAAGTTAAGGCCAGAAAAGTTGCAATTTATATCGTAATTCAATGAATTTGAAAAGAAGAACTATTATCTGAAAATGTATCGAAGCGATATAATTAAATCGATATAATGACATATGTAATCGTATGTTTCGCATTCCTTGAAAAAGAAGGTGTTTTCTGTGTTGGAAATTAGTTTGGATGACAATGAAGAGTTTTTTTTTCAATTCAGAGAATTAAAATATAAAAGATAAATTAAAAATCTTTGAAAGTGGAGCAACGTTGAAGTGAAATTCAAGAAAAGCCGCATCTTATGGTCCATTTTTCCCGATATTTCACTTAACCTATTAACTATCACTGAACGATTCATCAACCAGTGATTTTTCTTCCATTTTTCCCATGTTTTTATGTCGTTTTCCAGATGGTGAATACGGTTTCTTTTTCCAAATGCCTTAAATTCTTTCCACATGCATGTGGAAAAAGTACATGTACTTTTCAATGACAATAATACAAAATCAATGTACAATTTTCAAATTGGTTATATCAAGCTGTGAAAAAACAGGATGTTTTTTTCTTAGAATTTTTTTATACAAATTTTTACTGAATGAATTCGTAAATTTTCGATCTTATTTCTAAGTCAAAAATGAAAATGTTTGAAAGTAAAGTTTACGGCATTTGAAGAGCATAATAAGAAACACGGTAGATAATAGGTTAATGAAAAAATCCATTTTTTGTTTCGCCACTATGTTTTTGTATGTGTATCGACGATGATGTATTTATGGACGAAGAAATCAGTTTGTGTGTTGCAATGGATCGAGTTTAATTTTGTGAATGAATTTTTGAATTGTTCATTCAAAGCCTATGTCTTAAGGTTCAAACAAATACAAATCAAAAGAGAGAGCAATAATTTTTTCAAGCGAAAGCCCTAGTGAAATTAGGCCACGCGTCCATACGAACAATAAAGAGAGTGAAACAAATGAAATGCTGCTTTGCACTGAAAATGCCTTTGATGACAACATTTCTATCGACAACCACTATATTATTCTCAATTACATTTATATTTAAATGTAATAGCACACCAGCCCTGGTGTATCACATCAATTGAAATGAATGATCATTTAATTAATACACAAGAGAACATTTTGAGGTAGTTAAAAGACTCTTTAATTTGCACGTGCAAATAAGTGCACACGAGTAATGGTTGCTGAACTGGTGAGAGCATATGTAAGTTCTGAGAGTTCTGAAGTTGATTCCCTGCGATATGCGTCCTTGCATATCTTGGTATCACATTCATGAAATGTGAGCAAATATCACTTTGAAGTATTGAATTCACGGCATAACAGAGCATTGCTCTTAAAATTTAACCGACCAATTGTCAAGTCCGCAGCCGAGCCGAGCATCAATTATTTCAATCGTTCAAATGGGAAAAGTTTTAAAGAAAAAATCGCAACAGAAAAACGAGAAACCCAATTTATTTCGTGTAACATCGCAGCTTCATTGCCTTTTTTTCAATCAAATCGTCCATATTTAATTGAAATTGCATTTTCCTTATTTGAGTAGTGAATTCTGCAAAAAAATGAAACGATTCGAGAAAATAATATATTCGAAATGATCAAAAATTATTATTTTGACGCAAAACACCATTTTTAAGTAGTCTTTTCTTCTGAGCATTTTGCCGACGGATCTTTCAATAAAAAATGCTCCTCCGCAACTCAAGCAATTGTTTGCCTCGTTTAGAGCTTATTTAATCATAAATATGGTCTGCCAACGTACGAGAATATTAAATCATTATATGTTCATCGTTAAAAAAACATTCTAAAAGTCTCTAGTTGTTTTTAATTTTCTGCGCTTTACCGTACAGACGCGGTGATCATTGTAAGTTTACATTTCGAGCACTTTTTTTTCATGTTCTTCGACATAGAAAAACACTCTTCAACGGTACAATGTGATCAACTTTAAAGGATGCAATTATACATTTTGTTCTTTCTTTCCATTGCTTTGATTTCATTTGTGAGCATAATTCTTTCATTTCATTCTATTTCTATGAACGCTTTTATGTTACCAAACATAAAAAACAGCATTTTCCTTTGATGCCTTTTCTATTTGAAATGATTGCGAGAAAAGCATTTGCTTTTGAAGAGACGTTGGGGAATATTAAAAGAAGAGAGAGAAAAAAACAAAAAAGTACGTAAAAGTACATGAAAAATCGTGTAACTGCAATTGGCGAGTTTAAAAAAGGTGATTTTGTTAGAAGTTTTTTTTTCAGTTTCAATAATTAACCACATTAAAAAAATTGAAAGAAAATTACTTTGGCCGTCAAAAGAAGGACAACGAACTACAATTGAGTTGCTAATTCAATTTAATGAACTGTTTTTCGGAAGGATTGAACAGAAATTATCGAGAGAAGAGAGAAAAAAAACACCTCAAAAAATATTTGCCACATTGAAATATGCTATTTCAATCAAGTTTAATGGCTATTGAGCAGCTCTTAACACTTGATTTTATGTTTTGACAATTTTTTCAAGAGATTGGCGACACACTGCGTTCCAATTTGAAATTAAAATGCGACGAAATTGGAGTTCAAGTGCTCCGAATCAGTTCAAAACATCAGAAGAGTCACTTGAAAAATGAATTATCAAGTAAAATCGAAGGAAAACTTATAAACTCATATTGAACCAGGGGTGGCGAAAAATGTTCAATGGCGAGTGTCACATTTGCAAATAAATGAATGAATAAATAAATGATTTATTTCATAATAAATTAAACAAGCTCTCTTCATTCTGTGACGGACTGTTAGCATCAAAGGATCTAATGCGATGTTTCGCAAGTCAATTGCAACACAAATATAATTTTACAAGTGTGTACATTGTATTATGTATGCTATTTATTTGCTCAAGACACCACTTTGTTCAGCATCCATTCACATATTATAATTGGAAGAAAAAAAAGTTCAGAAAATGAAAAATCGATTGACATTTACAAAACATCTGTTTATTTATTCAGAAATGTACACACAAATATTGTGGATGTTATTTGGTATAGTTTGTAATATTTGTTTTACTTCCATTTCTCTCTCTCTCTCTCTTTCTCTCTCTCTCTCTCTCTCTCTCTCTCTCTCTCGGAAAACCAGACCGAATAATGCATAGCCATGGAGCATCGATGAGCCAAAGTGCATTATTTGGCTGTTCCTCGGCTGGCCACAGTGGTATCAACCAATTGGGTGGAGTTTATGTTAATGGGAGACCGTTACCAGATTCGACGCGTCAAAAGGTAATTTGTTGTATTTAGAATGGGATTTATGCAATTGCAACTGAATCAAAACTCAAGTGAATTGCTAGTTTTCGTGTTTAAATTGGTGTTGTCGCTTGAAATACTAAACACCTCATTTTCTTCGTTATTTCTTAGATCGTTGAATTGGCACATTCCGGTGCCAGACCTTGTGATATTTCTCGCATTCTTCAGGTTTCAAATGGATGTGTTAGTAAAATATTGGGAAGGTAATTTTGACACATGGATCACCGAATATTTTTTTTTTTTGTTCAACCATTCTTAAAATTCTTGTTCAGATTCTTCGAGCGATTTTATTTCATGTTCAAACCAAACTCAGAAGAAGAAGAATAAGCAGAAGAAGGAAAAAACGTTAAAATTAAAACATTGTATTCTCATCTAGATATTACGAAACTGGTTCAATAAAACCACGTGCGATAGGCGGCTCGAAACCACGAGTAGCCACCTCACCAGTTGTACAAAAAATTGCCGATTATAAACGGGAATGTCCTAGTATATTTGCGTGGGAAATACGCGATCGTCTATTATCGGAAGCGATCTGTAATAGTGACAATATACCAAGCGTAAGTATTCAATTTCGATTTTTTTTGCGTGTTTCTATTTGCGCTTGCGTTAGTCCATTTTTCTATAATTTATTTAACGTTTGTTGCTAACAATTGAATCACAAATGACACAAATATGAACTATATAGTAGTGTTTTTTTTGCTGTTGAATAATGCGTATGTGTACTCGAACTGGATATTTTCGATATATCATTCATTTTGAGAGCGCAGTATTTTATTGTGAGTCGGTGTACACTGTACAGTGTACACACATTCAATGTGAAAAACAAGTATTATTGAAGCAAATTGAATTATGATCGATTTTGATTTTCAAAAGTCAAACATGAAATGTTTGAAAATATTTCGACGAAAAAAAAACAGCATTAAATATTCGTAAATAGTGTGTGCGCACGTTTGTAGACCTATACATACAGTGTTCACGGCGTTGAATCAAAGGTAGGTCTACGAACATATAGGTTTCATTAGCGAAATATGCAAATACAGTATATTGTTTGGTTTTATACATCAATATGAAAATTTTCGCATTGCTTATGATAACATCAAATACCAAGTTACATATATAACGAAAACGGTTCACAAATCTACGAATACACATGCATATATATACATACAAACACACAAATACAAGCGTGTAAGAGAACGACGAGTCGGAAAAGTAAATTTTTTTGAATGGTATGAATAAGGAGGTGTGTTTAATCATGCGCACCAGTACGTGAAAAAGCAACAACAACAACAACCGTATGCCACTACTACCACCACTATCATCGTCTACAAATCATTTTGTCTTTCTTAGCGAATAAGCAGAATTCATGTATATCGTTACGAAACCGACATAAAAACGAAAAAGAGAGAAAGAGAAAGAAAGAGAGAGAGAGCAATAGGGAGAGAGGGGCTCATTGAAAAATTGCATGTACGCACGGCAAATACCAAAGCTCCCCACTGAAATGTGTTAAACGAACAAACCAAAGACACATTAATATAAATACACACAATCACAAAAACAGGATCAACGCCACTTTTCAAACAACAAGCAAGAAAAAAAACTCTCTTTCCACAAGGCAATCCTATTTAAAAAAAAAATGTTGAATAGGAAAAAGACTGAACATAGCGTGAAGATAAAACCTGATATAGGGCCTGGTCCGTGCATTGATTTTGTGTTTTTGTGCCAAGCACTTTTTATAGTCGGATAAATTCGGGGATGTTTGGATATTTTCTCGCATTTTCTTTCTACTTGAAGTTCTCAGCAATCAAATAGCAGATCGAAATATTTTAAAAGCAAGACAGATTTGAATACTGAAATAATGGCGTAACTGTAGTGGTAACGTATTCAGTGTTCAAAATTACTTGGGATTCGCACACCATTTTGAATAATTTGAAACCACATCACATTTGCATAAGCATAATCAAAAATATTGTCTGTATGTATTCAGGAAAATTGAAAAATTGCCCAAAAGTTTTCTTTCATTAACACGAGATTCATGTGTTGGCAACCGCTTTTGCATTCATTTTATTTCAGTAAATTATCTGGCTTCCAACCTCCGCAAAAATGCAAAAAACTTCAACTTGTTTCTTGACGCCTCCGGTTACTTTGTAATTGAAAGATTTTAAACTGTATTATATTATCAAATACTGACAATTGAACCCACTTTCAACTCAGAAAATCTGAAAAATGTCGACATTTTCTGCGGTGAAAATCTATGCATCTTGAATAAATTCGTATAAGCTCGCGCTGAAAAATGAAGAATCTCGCAGAACCACGTTATAGCGGTCGCGTCGGCATTTCAACTTTTGCCGCAAAACTCGTGATTTTAAAATTCAGGAATATTCCCCTAGATATGTATCTATAAGAGATGTATTCAAAATCGTGAATGCACCAAATGACAGACGAAACTTTTTTGGTTTTCAACCAGTTCTACTAATAATGTGTCAACAAATGATTTAAAAATTTTTGAACTTGTTTATAGTATCATCTATTTCAATTTACAAAGAAAGAAAAACACTAACTAAAATCCATAAATTTTCCGTTCTACCATCTGAAATCCTTGCAATAATTTAATTTAATGGCATATTTTAAGGCTTGTTTAGATTTTTTTTCTAAAGTCAACATTTGCCCATTGGAAATTCATACAATTAAAAGCCGAATGGAAACAGCAGAAACATCAACTATTAAATGAAATCGTTTTTCTACTTCAGTGGCTCTAACAAATGCGCAGAGAATAATATATTTTAAATGTCAGACGCACTCTATCTAACGACTCCATACACGCATGATTATGATATTGACAGCCATGGTGGTTGTGACGACTAAACAGATTTGAAGATACTGTCTCTCAAAAAAGTGTGAACCCCGTTCTGAAAATCATGGCACAAAATGTAGAAGATGCAAAAGTATCAAAAGCTTTTCCGATTCCGTCGTGAATCGAATTAGTATGACAAAAAAAACGGAGTAGAAATGCGCAACCAATCTAGGGAAAATAATGAAATTTCGGTAATAATTACATTTTCGGTTTGGGAGTCCTGATCAAATCGCGGAAAAAATGTTTCGGTTGTGCGCAAATCTATTTTATGATATGTAACGCACACATTGGCATCATCCTCCGTTTTCACACTGGAACATAATGGAAAATCGAATTTTACTTGGGCTTGCGCTCGTACCTCGATACTTTCTACAACGAAACCTCGCTTACATTACCATATCAAAGTAAACACATGCATTTGTAAAATCACCCTTTTTCATGGATTGGTCCGCAGGACATGCGAGAGAAACAAGCAAATGAAATGGAGAAAAGTTAATAAAAATTGTTGAATAAATTTTCCCATCAGCGTCGTCGTCTCTCATTTGAAGCCCGGTAATACTTTGTTTATAGTTCTGTAACATGCGTACCCATTGGAGGAGCCACGTTTCGAAATTCACATGGACGACGACGGAGAGGATGGATGAAAATATAATATTGTGAAAATGTGTGTAATTTTAAGATTGTTGTGTGGATTTTCTTTATGCGTTGAAATGAGTAGGCAGTTTCGTTTTCGTGAAAATTTGATGATTGTGTTTGTGTTTGCATGTACGAAGCGTGTAAGAGGGTATTGAAACAGGCGAGTGCTTATAAAACGAAAACTCGGTACGTTTACAAATAATTCTTGATGCCATTCTTTTTTTTATTTTCGACATCGTCAAGTTCAACCATTTCCATGATAGCGTTTCGCTCGTTCTTTTTTTTGCTTTTTCTTATTATTTTCACTCTCATCGCTTCACACATGACTGCGCACACCGATCCTGTGCTGTATGTGTGTTTTCCCCATTTTCGTGTTTTCGTGAGAGTCAAGCACGTTTATGTAATCTGTAGACTCAATTGGCACATAGATAGAAGAAAGAAAATCCTATTCGAATTGAAATGGCGCCATTCAAACACATAAACGCACGGCAATACGCACACACAGAGCAAGAGAGAGAGAGTGGGATAAAGAGAAAGAAAGAAAGAGAGAGAGTGATAGATACGTATCCATTCAGATTGTACGAACAGAATAAACTCAGACAGCTGTAGCCATATAGTTTGTTATTCATTGACAAATCAAATAAAATACATAATTAAATGAAATTTCCTATTTATATTTGCATTGAAACAATCATTCCCATTTCGATTCATTTGTGACAACATGTCATTCTAACATCTTGAAGCAAAGTGCATAATCATCACTCCTACGGTATAAATGCACATTGACACAAGAGATAAACTCCTTCTTATTAGTAGCAAATTTAATTTTTGATCTTGTTAACGTAAACACTTTCCGCTTTAAAATCTACATTCCATACAGCATGTGCTTTTCAGTAGCTGCATCAAATTTTTTCGAAAGGTTTTTTTTTTGTCCTCATCAGTTCCATTCAGTTCTCCACTCATGATAATTGAAACAAAAAGAATTGAAAGTTGAATTACCAGGTAATGATACAAATTCTAAATTATTTGATTTTATGGGCGTCTCTGAACAGAATTTTAGTCAGCTCAGTGCCGTAGAGTCCATACAAATGCGTGGAGCTTAACCTTTTAAATGTGCATGGATATGCATATTTCGACATTTTCGGATAAAAATCAAATTACATGCGTAAATTTACAATGGTATTGAAACAATTGCAACAAATTAAAAGATTTCACAAACACATGGCTGAAATTTGAGTAGAGTATGTTGTTATTCTTGACTATTTTTGTAATAAAGTAAAGAATATGACAAATATTGACTTGGTGGAGATTCACAAAAAATATTGATATCGTTAATTTCAAAAATTTTGTAAATATCAACAATCATTAATAAGTTGAATTGAATTTAGTTTAAGATTTGCTTGAAAACATAATCTACTCTTTCCAATACAAATTTAGTCAATCATACACTATTCTAAATCTCTCTCTATGAGAAATGCGTGTATTTTTTGAGAAAATTGAAAAGAAAAAAAATCAAACACAACAAAGAGATGCAAAAACAATAACAAAAACAACAATAAATGAGCTCATCTGTAGTTTTCTAAAAAAAAAATCGAGATGTAACTACACAGATGCAAGTGATGCAGACACCGTGAAATATATTGCCACAGTTCATACAAAAAGTTCTTCATTTTCCATTCTGATGCAACATTTGCAAACACAAACGCGTCATTGGAAAGGCCAAATGCTACACAAAGTAATTGGAATTAAATGTCTAAACAAGATGGAAGTGAAGTGTTCCAAACGGCTGGACAAACATTCCAACTATTCCAAACCATCAACGGAAGGTATATTCAAAGATAGTCGCTAAATGTTAAAAGTACAGTTTTAGTATGTTTTTGACATATATGTTTCGACGCGTGGTCATTTTTGCACTTTTGAAAAAAAAAAGAATTTTAAAAAGGAGTTTCTACGAAGTTTTTACTTCATCGCGCTTCTGTATTAACGTTTTCCTATCTTAAATTGGCATGGTCTTATTTTTCGAAAATCACGTTGAACATTTTCCGCCAAATATTATGCATATTTTTCCACCACTCAATTCTATATTGATGAACTATTTTTCGCAGTTTTCTAAAGAGAATGCTTTATTGTGGCCGCAACATCTGTGGGAAACCGTCGGCTTCGTCGATTGTTTGAATTGAAACCAAAATGCATAAGCGGCTTTAAATTCAGCGTTGTCATTTAAAAGTGCCCAAGAGCTATCGATGTAATTATTGTTTAATCGGATAAATGCAATTAAACAAAATATTTGAGACAAAGATCGATTTGTTATTTGCCTGTGGCCGGTGCACCTGTGCACCAAATTCATAAGCGTTCGTTGTCGGTGGCGGCGACGGCGGCGACGGCGATACAGTAGCACAATGGAATCATTTGCATAAATTGCATTCCCAAATCATATCCATCGTTTATATTCGTGTCATCATTTATCATTTTCATTTATTGGCTAACATTTGCATTGCACGGAATTTCATCGCTTAATGAAAAGATTAACATTTATTTTGTGTTATCAAAATAGCTGAACACGTAAATTCGATCGTATAGCTGGTGTAATCGCCATACAATCGTCAAAAACAAGATTGCATCGGTTCAACCAGTTTCCAATCGAAAATAATAGTAGCAGGTGAAAGCATGAATTGTATATTTTCTGGAGGCGCTAGCAAGTTTATTCGCATTGGTTGGCAATTCTTTTCAAAGAATGAATTAATTCGATAGTACATGCTGTATTCACACATCGATTGTCAAACCGAAAACAAAACACGCTGTGGCCAAATGCGCATTTCAATTCGTCATCACATGCACTGGTGCACTGAACTTTTCACTGATTTCTCTGAATCAGCGTCTATCCCGTCTGAAAAGCGAATTTCAATTTACTTTAAGCCTTCAGACGGAAAAAAAGAGAAAATAATACGTCTAAATTCTACAATGGTCCTAAAACACCCTAATAGACTCACTGAAATGTAAATAATATTTAATTTTGTTTTATCAATTCTATTTCTCTTTTTGATGCGTATCGAAATGCAAAAAGGGGACCAAATTTAAAAAAAAGAACGAACAAAGATTCCTGGTAAATTTTTTGGTTTTGAGTTTAATTCTTTTTCTTTTGTTTCCTCGCACCGCGCGCATGTTATACATTTTTCCATTATTTTATGCGCAGAGTGTTATCACTGAAGCTTTACGCGTCGCTGTAAATCTGGATGAATTTTCCTTCTCCTGAAACTTTCAATGTGTCGGCTTAGTCTATTTACATTATTTGTTTTACTTCGTTTCAACAGAAACTTTTTCACTCTTCTTTTACCCGATGAAGGCCTATTCTCAAAAAAAAAAAACATTTAAACCGCCCTAATCAAGCCTTCATTCCCTCAATGTGCACATACATCGTAATGGTACGTTATAGGCGCATATACGCTTCAATGATTCGGCCTCATTATATGCATGCGATGTGTACATTGTGCTATGTCTACAGCCTGCATGCAATTGCTCATAGTAAATATTATATGACATAATACAAAATGAAGTATTACGATGGAATACAATAAAAATATATCGTGTACATTGTACGTAGTGTTCTCAAGCCAGAGCCAAAACCAAAGCCAACGACAAGCAGCCGAGAAAAAAAAGTCGTTATCTCTAGGTCTGCTGTCGAGTGTGGTGCGGTGTGTGTGTGTGTCCGTGTACCAATTTCTGTTTTGTGACATGAGTATTATTGGTATATTGTAAAAATGAGGCTCACGGTATGCGCTCATCTCTCCGACTGTATTTGCGTCTCTGCGAAACATACGAAACATGGATTGTTCGAATCGAATGAACAAAAAGAACGATTTTGCTAAATTTATTTTATTAAAATGCTGTTTTCCAGTCGGATGAATTCAAATAATATGTTCAGCTCGTCTGCCGAAGTTAGTCAATTGAATTGAAAAAAAAGGCAACGAGCGAGAGCGAGACACAGAAAGAAAAAAAGAAGAAAACTACAATAGCACCCTTTTAAGCATTGTGTTATTTTTATTTTTACTGTTATAAATCGTGTACGCGCACGCTTTCTTCATTATTGTGTGTATGTATAAATGTGTACGTATTTATATAAATCTTTATTCTTTATTTGATATGCATGCTATAAATAGATGTAGATGATTTTATGGCAACCAAACTAGATATATTTAAATTCCGTTGTTTGGATTGCGCGCGCGTTCAAAAATTGTTGATTTGTGGTTTTTTGAGCAGCAAATGCAAACACAGCACATATGTACAATAACTCTTACAAATAGATGTGAAGTTTTTAATTAATGGTTTTAACAATATGAAATTCTGTTTATTTTTTTTTTGTCTCTTATTGAAAATCATTAGGTTTCATCGATAAACCGAGTTCTAAGAAATTTGGCATCCCAAAAAGAGCATCAAATTCAGCATCAAAATGAATCGGTGTACGACAAACTGCGGATGTTCAATGGTCAATCGGGCGGTTGGGCTTGGTATCCAGCGGCCGCTGCTGCGGCAACAGTCACCTGCAGCACGGCAAATGTCCCGACACAATTATCGATTCAGGCGCCGTCGAGCATTACAAATATTACGGCTAGCAATTTAACAACCAATTTGAATGGAAATCAATTAGTTCGCGATGATCCACTCAAACGAGGTAATCCTTTCGATACAATAAGTCAACACGTGTAAACTTATTCTTTCACGTGCAACACACGGCCGTGTTTTTGTGTTTTGTTCTGTTTTTTTTTTCTCCTGTCGCTCAAAATGAGAAACTTGTATTTGATTACACTTGATAGTCACTCATGGTGCGAATGTTTCATCGTTGAGTGCACACCTCGACAACAAACGCAACAATGCAAAAATTCGTCGTTTTTATCACAGTCGGAGATTAAAAGGAAATATCTTTTCGTTTCCTCCTTGCCAATGGAAACCCATATATTGCATATTTATTTATATTTATATTGCAATCAGGGTAAAACTATGGAAACGAAGCATTTTCTAATCAGTTCATCCAAGGATTAAACTTCACTTAATTTTCGACAGGGGAGAATAGTATATGGTGAACGGCAGCGACGGTGGTGGTGGTGGTGGTAGTGGTGCTATCGTGCAGCGCCTACATCAATAAACTTGCTCATCTTATGCGGTTGCTTTATGTGTTTTGCTCTTTGCATGCTCTCTCAACTTTGTAGTCACGCATCAGTGACGTCGAAGTAAAGCAAGTCGAAAAAAAAGACGGAATTTTTTTTATATCGCCTTTAATTCTGAATGAACACAATGAAAACTGCTAAAAGGGCATCTAGATACGTATTCAAAATCGAATCGATGATGAGATGACGATGAGACGGCAACACATTAAGTGGTGATGTATCCTGATTCATCCGTTCTGTCTCTCTTTCACTCTCTCTCCCTCCTACTCTCTATGGGCAGGGAGACGTGTGTGCGTGGCGGTTGTATTCCTCTGCGCCTATGGTTCAAATTAAATAGGCTGCATCGAAGCAAGACCAGAACACTTATAAAACGATTTCGTGCACTTATTGCTGGCAATTATTTGTATCTTATGAGTTCCGTTAACTTCCCTGTTGCTACTGTCGCTGATCCTTTGTGCGGACAGATTTATTATGATGGTGTTCATTGAAATGTATAAATGTGAAAAAATGTATAGATACGCACACACGCACTGTCTCCAATGAAATCAAAACCTACGTGCCGTACATGACTTTTATTTACATATATATAAGTTATAGCGTTTGACTATTGAAGTATGCAATTCTCGAAAAATTGTTCGATTTCACTGGAGTTACGTTTGTTGCATTCAAATAGAAACATAGCATAAACCCTAACTATCATCAGGACATCGATCGATTGTCATCGACAAAATAAGCAATCCATAAAAAAGTGCGTACGAAGTACAAACTTCACATGTGACAACGAATAATTGGGTGGGTTGATTTGTCACGATTTTTTTTCTGCCAACATAAAAATGCACAATCGATAGATAGATGCTTCTTTCATTGATCATGGTCAAACAAAGCATGAACAATAAAATCAACGTGTACTCACACTATGTCTTCAAATAGATTTGATGCAAAGAGATTATAATTAGCTACAAACAGACAAAAAAAAGAGAATGCCCTCTTATTCGCCAGCGAAATTCATGAAATTGTAATAGCACAAAAAAAAAGAACCCGTCATCTCATAAAAGGTAGCATTTCCCTCTTGATTCCGTTCTATGTAGAAATCAGCAGCATTAGGGTGGGCGGTGTGAATGCTCTGCATTTCGAAACCGATGTTGATTGATGCGCCCCACATCGATGCGTTGCGGCTTTTGACGGATTTTCGATCAAAATTCGTTAAAGCGTCACAAACACATTGCATGAATGTGCTTTTTACACATTCCACATTCTTGTCGTGTGTAAAACTATTATTAATATGGATCTTTGATATTGTGATAGGGTTGCAAATAAAATCTATATATAAATACATACGTAAAATGCTTTGTTGGTGAATTCTTTGGTGAATTCCAAACACATTGAGTTACCACATGAATGCCATAGTCACAGCGTGGTATTAGGGGCTTTGAATTCACATACCTCAAATTCAATACAATACAACAAATGGCAAAGAAGCAAAAAAGAAAAAAAAATAGAACAAAAGCAAATGGAAGGAACATTGGAAATTATCGACAATCAAAACGAAAGACGATGTGAAGCATGCCGAGTTCGATACACCTGCGGAACATATATAAGATGCTAAGAAGATGGTTTGTGTGTGAAGACGTACAGAATTCTTGATCCGTCAATACAATAAGAAGAAGGGTTGATCAATTCGAAATATTGATGCTTTTCGTATTTTTCTTTTTTATGCGATTCGCTTGAAATAAATCGGGTTGGTTTGAAGCACTTCTACTTTAATGTATTTTGCTATTTCAATTTATCTGAAAATACACTTCTTTTCTTTTTCAATATTAATCGGCGCGAGTGCCTTGGGCAGAAAGTCAAAATATTTCCACACACACACAATTTTTTGGTTTTTCATTGAACTGAAAATCCCAAAATCATATATTCTTCGCTCTTTTATTCGATGCAGTCAGAAATCCACACTTTTATTGACATAAAACAAGGGGGAAGAATCAACCAGCTTCTTTCAATTCATTGCACACAAAAAGGATATCCAATTACAAAAATATAACTAGCGAAAGTATAACATTTGTTTTGTTATGTCACACACACACACACACACACAAATTGAACTCGGTTTTTGTGCACTATTCTTTGTATATTTATGAAATTACGTCATTTAAGTCAATTACAGTGTATTAAATTAGACCGATTGTGAAAAGGAAATTTCGTATTTGGATGATTTGGTTAAAACTGCTTGATTTCCAGCCACAATATTCGACTGTCTCAGCTATAATTTGCTTAGCAATTAGAATATCCAATTTATTACATGTTTGAATTCGATGTCCTCGCTGCATAGAATGCTAAATAGAGTGTTCATCGGCCCCTTAATTGATATTTGTACTATTTCTGAAGCGGCAAACATGCTGCGGATAATAGAATCTGATACGTATGTATGTGCAATATATTTGCGTCAATGAATGTCAAACTGATTACATAATTTTCGCTTGTTGTTCTAATCATTGAGAAAGAAAAAATTAGATGACAAATTGTTCTATTTCCAAAGTTTTTTGTAGACGTTTTATTTAATGGTACGGCACTATTACTGAAAATTCATATGTTTTATATTATTGTAAAAAAATTTTTTTTTAACCATTTCACTTTCATTTCATCGGTGATAGGAATCATCGTTTTTAATTACGAACTTACAAAGATTTAAGAAAAACAGAAACAAAATATTGAGTAAATTAATTCGAATATTTCTTTTTGTAAAAAGAACGGCTGAGATTTTTGCAAAGTTTTGGCGGTGTCCAATTGTGTCCTTCTCGCACTAACTGCTGTCTAATCTCGTTCACAAATTAGCTGTCTTTAGTGCGAGCGAATACAATGAATGTCACCGCCAAAATCTCTATCATATTTTGTTGATAAAAAACCAACATGAACGTAAACACAACCCCAATGTTTTTCATAAAATTTTAGATCTTTTTTCATTAGATGGGCTAAATCAAACGCCATCCCTGGCTAATTCACATGATAGTACATCGGATGGAAATTCGGACAATGGCGGAAATTCGTCCGGAGATGAGGATAGTCAGTTGCGTTTGCGTCTTAAACGAAAGTTACAACGAAATCGGACATCATTTACAAATGAGCAAATCGATAATTTAGAAAAAGGTATGGAAAATTGTGTGGACCTAGACGGATCCTTCCTTTATTTATTGACATCAATTTAAAATGCAATTTATTTTCGATATTTAATTTCGTTTAGAATTTGAGCGAACACATTATCCGGATGTGTTTGCCAGAGAGCGCTTAGCTGAGAAAATACAATTGCCTGAGGCCCGAATACAGGTACGAGTTTAAGCTTACAATTTAAAATGACATTGTTATTACCGTTCAACACATTCCATGTGACCGAAAAATGAAACGCACGCTCAGAAAATCCCCATCGTTAAATGCATTGCTAAAATCCCTTGAAGCAGTTTTCAACGCAACCGCGGTGGCATAATTCACCTCATTTACTCAACAAGCATTGAGTGTTGATTTTTATTTTAACCTTCATTCCATTCGATCCGAGGTGTTATTGTGCAACTTATAATAACTGAGCAATCGGTAATTTAATACAATAAACACGTCATGGTGAAAAAAAAACAATTATTCCACACGTGTTACATTCACGAACGGAGCAGTTAGTGGAAATGAATGTTTAACAGTAATGATACCTGACTTGATTTTATGGTTTTACGTCTTGCATGATCGATTAGTAAAAAACGCAGTTCACATTTTAATTTGTAAACAGAATTCAAATTGACAAAACTAATGCGTAAAATCTTTGAACTACAAATGCACATACAGGTTTGGTTTTCAAATCGTCGGGCTAAGTGGCGTCGGGAAGAGAAACTCCGAACACAAAGACGTTCAGTGGACCAGCAGAATAATAATAGCGTTACTGGTTCCGTTGCAGCGGGCAATGGTCAAAGCAATGGTGGTTTAGTCTCAGCCAATGGAAGTAGCAATAACAATGGCACAGGTTAGCGAAAATTATGAATTGGAAAAAAAGGAATATTATGTTTTCAGAACAATTTATCTGACATACACATCAAACAAAGGTGATCAAATGGCACACAAAACACTTGTTGAACGAAATACTTGAGAATTGTTGCTCATTTAAAAAAAAAAAATTTGAGGGATTCAAAACGTGAATAGACTTGAACAATTGAACAATAACGCGAAAACCCAATGAATTTCATATTAAAAATAAGACTTTTCATCTCGCTTCGTCCTATTCTTGAGATTCTTAAAATGTTCAAAAAGGAATCATTCATGTCTAGTTGACGAAACTATAATTGAAGCGTTACATAAAATGTAAATCATCACACTTTTAAGTTTCACCAAAATTGTTATTTTTTTTGTATTGTAAATAATATTTCGTAGCCATCTTGTCGTTACCTCCTGATAATGACACTGTAGTAACGAAAAAATGTACGGTTCAACAAATGAAAGTCAGATTTTAGTTGCTGGCGAGCCCAGATAAACCTCATATTTCGTTTTGATAAGTTGGTGGATTCAGTGGAAAAAAATGTTTTTCAAATTTTTTATCAGTGATGTTAGAAAAATGGTCGAAAATGGCCACTTACGATGTTTTTGTCTTCGACAACTACCATTTTCTCGTCGAAAAAATATGGGTCTCGGAACACTTGAATA